GCAATCGCCTCCATCTTCGAGGTACACTTCGACGGGTTTGCCAAACGCCCTTTGCTCTTCTGGCCGCTCTGGCGATGTGAGCAGAGGGGAGTGTCCTCATAGCCCTGGATGTGCAGCTGACTGCGGGCGGTCGCGATGTATCCGGTTGGCCGGGGCCAGGCATTGCCCAGACTAGATGCGCGAAGGGTCTCATGGATCCAACCACCCAAGGCCCTGTCTCTCAGCAAGCCTTGGATGTCGACATCCCTCACACTTGCCAAGTAGTCCCAAGCTGCTTCAAAGCGCTCCCGGAGCAAAATAGCTCGAATCACACACGCGGTACCCGCCGCGCGATGCCGGCCACTAATGCAGTGGAGGAGCACATCCTCACCTCCCCACAACGTATTGCACAGGAGCGGAAACAGGTCGCGCCATTGCTCGTCTCGCCTATCAGGGTGGGCGATAGCGAACTTACGCAGGGTCGCTCCCTGCAAGCAAATGCCACCCCGCTGCGAAGGCTCCTCAAGCATGCATGCCACTTGAAGAGTGACGGATGGAAAGGCTGATGCTGACCTGTTCGTAGGCAATCCACCCAACCACAACGTGCCGCCACTTTGGACGGACAGCACTTTGGTCGGCGCCTGCGCGCTCTTCCCCCGCACGGTGGCCAAGCGGTCCCACCGCTGGTCGTGCACGTTGGGTGTGAACGCGGCCGGGGGCTCGGGCATCTCGAAGATGTCACTGGGAGCCTCCGTTGCTTCGGCTGCTGCTGCTGCTCGCCATGGTGGAATGACCTCCGAGGCTTTGGGCGCCGCAGCTGTCGCTGCCACCGAGGGCGGCATTGCCTTGGGCGCCACGGGCTGCGCTGGAGAGGGTACTGCCTCAGTGTCCGGGGGTGGTACGGTGCGCAGCTTCTTGGTCTTGGGAGCCGGGACTGGACTCGGGGACGCGCTCGGGGAGCGAGGGCCTGCTGCACTGAGCAGCCCCCCAAGTTAAAGAAGTTAAAAACTTCCTCAACATAGGTTATAACTAGGGATAACATATGTTATAACCTATGCTAAGTTCGATAAGTTCCTTGGAAGTTATAACACAAATATAAGTAAGTTCTAAAACATGTGAAATTTATAACATAGTTATGACACATGCTATGTTGAAGCTTGCAGAACTTAGAAACAAGTTACGGAAGTTATTTTTTTATGTTTGTTTTTTGATGATTTGTAAGTTCTGTGCAAAAAATAGTATATTCACCAACAAGGTTAATAAGTGCTCACATTGATACCATCCCGCAGTCAATGTGGAACCAGGAGATGAAACTTGTGTTTCGCTCCACCTGCAACCAGAAAGCCACGAAGACGGAGAAAAAGCAGACTTGCAAAGACAAGACAAAGTCGAATACCAAGAAGTCTGTGATGAACAAGTTTTGAGGGATCGCAGGAGCGAGCTTTCGAGGAAAAAGTTTTGAGGGATCGCAGGAGCGAGCTTTCGATGAAGAAGTTTTGAGGGATGGACGAGCTTGCATTCCGAAAAAGAACGCAATGCAATTATTTAACCTTTGGCGGTTGTTCTGCACAGAAATGCAATCTTGTATGGAAAGAAATTGTTTGCGCGCAGACATACCGATCATTTTTTTTGCGATAGAAACGGAAGGCGCAGGGATACAGAGAGATACACAGGGATACATTGGGATACACGTGTATCCTGGTGTATTTCGGTGTATCCCCTCACCAGGAGACACCGGGATACATTGGGATACACGTGTATCCCGGTGTATCCCGGTGTATCCCCTCACCAGGATACACCTGACCAGAATTTGAAAACACTTGTGTTTTCTGTTTTTTGGCTCGGCGGTTGTCTGCCCTGATTTTTGGCAACGCAAACAACTTAAGCAACTTAATAACTTCTACAACTTTCTTATAACTTACTTACACTTTCTTTCATATAACTTACTTATAACTTATTTTTAACTTCAGTAAGTGCTATAACTAAAGTTATAACTATGATAACTTGGGGGGCTGCTTAGTGTGAGGACTCATCTTCACTGGAGGTGCTCTCTGGCGATGATGATCGATGCGGTGCCTCATAAACGTCGGCCACGGGGAGAGAGACTGGCTCTGCGGTGCTGGGCACTGCGACGTTCGCCAGAGGGGTATGCTCGACATCCTCGGCCACCACATAGCGCTTTGCCAAGCAAGCCTGAGCTGGATGCTTCCCTCCGCAGGCACGGCCAGTCTTCAGCACGATGGCACAAAGGTGGGCTTCACCACAGGTCCCCTCGCCCACGTGGCAGGCGTCCAACTGGAAGGTTGGGGCATAGCGCCTTGCCGTTCCTCAGGAAACGGGTGACCACCTTACCATTGATGGAAGGGGGCATCACAGCTTCGGAGCGCTTGGAACTAGCCTGCGCCGCTCTTGTGAGCGCTGCACGCTCTCGCGAGAAAGCGAACGCGCGCTGCGCTGCTGCCACCGACATCGGCTTGTCCCACAAGCTGTGCTTGTCGAGGCTCACCGCCCGCTGCACCTCGGGCTTGGCCGCGTCCACTGCGGCAGTGATGGCGGCTGGAGTTGCCAGTTCCCAGGCATCAAATTCGCCCAACCTGGCGACAAGCCCCAGCGACAGATGTTTGAGCCTCATGCTCACGAGATCACGGCTGCCTGCGTAGTGTGTCGGCATGGCGGCCTCCTGAGGTAGCTCACTCTTGGACTGCCAATCCCCCAAGGCCACCATCTCAACCGGGGTGTACTTGGCCAGCAACGCCACCGTGGGCATGAGCCGGCGCCACGAGTAGGTGGAGAGGTCGGCCACGTCGGTCACAAGGTCCTGGAACAGCTCACGACCTGCGGCTTGCACCTCAGAGATGTCCCACGCGCGGCCTTCCCGATTGAAGCATAGGCCGCCTTCATCTCGTTGGGCCTCGGGCAACTGGTTCCGAAGGGCCACCACATGCTCTGCCCAGGGCCAGCCATCTGTGAACTGCGAAGGGATGGAGAAGTCGAAGCCATCACGTTTGCTCGCCTGCTTCCCTTTGGGGCAATGGCAGTACATCGTTGAGCGGGACAATCGCACCATCTGAGCGCGTTGGACATGCCGGTAGCGTAGTACCCCTACGCCAACGATCCAACTTCCCAGCATCGCAGTTCAGCGAGGGTCCTGTCGGATGAAGGCTTCCTTGATGCCACGCTCCAAGTGGGTGAGCATGGGCGGCTCGACAACGAGAGCCTGGGATCGCGCAGCTGCCCGCCGTGAGGCAGGTGGATCCAGCACGATCGCATCCAACTGCCACCCCAAATGCCCCAGTTTATTCAACCAGCGAAGCGAGTTCAATGCCCGCTTGGGTCCTTTGGAGCCGGAGGCCAGGAATGACGCCAAATCCAAATGCTCTATCGTAGTCCTATCTCGAGAACGCATAAAGCTGACCAATTCCGACCACGTGCGCACAGCGTTCACCACTGTCTGAGGTTCCGATTTGGTCACTTTGACCTGCGCCAATCGAGTGAGTTGCAGTTTCCACTCAGCTAGGATCGCATCTGAGAGGTTCCCCACGGAAGGGCGATGAATCCCGGCGTCCTCAAACACCTTGGCCAGCGCTTCCACTCGCCTGTTCACACTGTCAGCACTGAAGGCTTGTTGCGAAAGGGTCACTCCCTTCCGAACAGGCACTGGAGGAGCGGGTAGGTGAAGAGCATGTGCCGGCCTGTCACGACTCGAGCCAGCTTCCACTGTAGAGGCCGCCAACGGCATCAGCTCCTCAGTCTGCTCGGAGCGGGCCTTGGTCCAAGCATCGGCCAATCCCCGGCCCCCGGCCAAGAAGGCCTCTTCCGCTGACCGAAAGGCAAAGGCGAAGTCCGCGTCGTCCAAGAGGTGGTATTGCTCCCTGAACTCGCGAACACGGGCGGCTTGGGCCACTTCAGACGAGGTCTCCGGGTCCCACCTGGAGCTCCCCGCTGACTCGACCGCGTAGCGCCCCCTGTCAGCCATGAGCCCTGCAAGGACGATCGCACTAGTCTGAGCCAGAACTGTCGATGCACAACGGGCACTGCCGTGACCAGAAGTTGCAGCTCGCACAAACGATCGATCGACAGACTCGACAGGACTCGAACGTGGGCAGGCGACAAAGGAGGCAGAGGGGGGGGATGTACTCGAGGTCATAGGCCACGGCCCCCAGGATCGCACGGATGGATCGGCCTGCATTCGCGACTTCACGGGGAATACCTGGGGTCCCAACCACAAACGACCATGGTTCCCGCCATGGCCGCCTCCCCTGCTGCCAAAGCCGAACCAGCTCGAAGAACTCCTCGGTGTCGATGCCATCGTCCCCGTCGTCCAGCCGCTCCACGGCCAAACCAACGTGGACCGGCAAGATGTCCAACGGGCCCAGGTCAAAGGCAATCCACTGCAGCGCCAGGCGGTCCAAGCGCGCCGCAGAGGCATGGTAACGCTGCCACGCGACCGCTGGCCCAAGTCCCTCTTGAACCAGCAAGCAGCGGCGGCTCCATACGCCCACCCATGGGAACTGGAAGCCGCCCCGACGGTCGGTGCACCTTGCACACGGAATGGTGGTACATACGAACCGACGAACCGGGGGGAACCCAGCGATGGAGAGGGGTTGCCCTGGAGACCCCAGATGCACCAACTCCACCACGGAGGCCCAGAGGCGCAAAGCTTCCCGCTCGCGCCCCTCAGCAACCAGCTCCTGAAGGTGAGCGCTGAACTCCATCCACGCGGCGGCATGGATCACCTGGCACCTGGTGTAGGCAGCAAGGCTTGTTCCCAACTCGCTCATGGGAAAACAGGGTCCCTCCCTGCACAAAAAAGAACTGTCTCTCCAAGGGTTCCGCCCTCAAAAAGAGAGAACAAACGCTATTTTGGCCAAGTCACTTGAGCCAAAACATTCGTTGGTTCAAACCTATGGCAGTAATGAATACATGTTCACCCAAGCCTGCCAGACCTGAAACATGTTTATATATGTCTGCATAACTGTATAAACTGTACGATATTAAACCATGCACAGTGCTTGTGAGTCCCGATCAAGCAAACCCGCTGCAGCCCGTCTTTTGTCTCGCTCGCCCCAAACCCCGCCCGGTGGCGGCGATCCGGCATGGTCGGGTGAAGACCTGCTCCAGCTCCGATGTGAGGGTCTCTAAAACCTCGGAACGCACACAGTCTTCGAAGGCCTCCTGGCTGCCGAACCACATGGTGATGCAATCCTTCACGATTTCGCGGTCACACATCATGTCGCCCTCGTGGTTCAGGTCGCAGCAAATACTTCTGGTCCTTTCCAAGCTGACGCTTTGCAACTTCTCCTTTAGGTCATCCACGGATTGAAAGTAGGAACGGAAGGCGTGGGCGCAGCATAAAGCACCAAACGCTCCAAAGACGCACACGAACACCATGGGAATCAGAAAAGAAGCATCGAGCGGGAAAGTCGTCAGTGGCACCACAGCCAGGAACATCCCCAAGAAGGTGGCAACGACACACGGCCCCATAAAGGTAGGTGTTACCAGCAACCGGGAATGCTCACTATCAGCTTTGCTCTTCAGGAAGGCACTCAGTTCGAACAAACACCAAAGGCGATCACTCCAACTTGAGTCCCAAAGTACCAACATCTCCCGGGAGCGCTTCAGCATCCCTGCGAGGCTTAGGATTTGCTCTGCCTTGAGCTGCGGATCACTTTCGGTGATGCAAATCCGGTCCAGGAAAACATGCTGCTGCGGCCGCCAAAAGACAAAGGCAAGTGCTGTGACCAAGAAGCCCGTTCCGAGTGACCTAGGTCTATGAGGGAAGCGCAAGTGATGTTCACGAACTTGGTTCCGTACATGCGGTGCTTTCAAAGGCTCATGCAGCTAATTCTGTCACACATGGATTGTCTGGGCAATGTGTATACACCTGCACCTCCATATCTCAGGGGCCAGCAAATGCGGAACAAACCCCGGAAAGGGCTTGTTGTCTTTCTCCCGAAACGAGTGTCATTTACTCAAAGTCTTTAGAGTCCATGGTACGCACCGATTGCACCGCTCTGCGGGCATGCGAACATCAGTGTATAGATCCGTACGCCCGTGCGCACGCGTTTCGGGGGTTCCGAGCACGGGTTTGCGAGCACCCGTAGGCCCCGGAGCCTGGAGTGGGGCCTGGGCCTTCCAGTATGGACCAGGTGGTTCACGGATGCTCAAACCAAACCAGTGAGCTCCATGGTTTCTTGGCTTCGAACGCTGGACACAACTCGCCTGCTTGGACGGCGGAGGTCAAAGAGGGGTCAAACCCAATGCATTTGGTTCCAAGGTACATGGCAAAAGGGAACTCATCTTGGCAACACGATCCCTTTGATCGGGTCCCATCTTCCTCCAGGAATGAAGGGGCTATCATTCAGACCATGTACAGCCAACGCCCCTCCAAAGCTGAACCCTGGGGTTCGTTTCTCGCCCGGGGACTGCAAGATTGTTCAATCGCTCCGGTCGCTCATGCGGCACTGGCGCGGCCAAATCCTCCATGGAAAATGAAAATCGTGGTCTCGCTTCCCCTCTCACCAGTGCGTTTCACACAAAGGGCAGAGGAAGAAGTCGGGAGAAACAGGGTAAACCCTATGACATGAGAATTCCTCGAGCCAAAAAGACCCTAGCGCCATCGAAAACATCCATGAGAAGAGGCTTCATGCAAGCGAGCTTGCCCTGGCCTGCTGGCTTATCTCTTGCCATGGCACGACATGTTAGAGACAAATTTAGTTACATCTATGAAAGTAGCCAAGGTTTCATCCCAATTCAGAAGGTAGAGTAGACTGTGAACATCTATATGAACCAAAAAGTGCGCTGGGATGGTCTGCCAAAACCTTGGAGGCTCAGAAAGCACCCGGGTCCCAGTGCCTCTTCAAGTCAGGTGGTTATTCCGCCGCTCGGTCCTTTCCGGTCTTTCGGTGCCTGAGTGAAAGGACGAAGAGAAGACCTGACACCTGCCTAATGTTACTACTAGCGTCCTTGTTCCTACTAGTAAGGCACTTGTTACTGGAAGCGATGCACTTGTTCCTAGTAGCGAACATATTTATGGCATTTTATGGCTGCCTAGTGGCTGCCTGGCTGCCCCACCCATATGCCCCGCTCCCCCTGATGGCGAGAGCGAGACGATCCCTCTTTGGCGTCTCGTCTCGACCGTCGGGAGGTGACGAGAAACTCCAACGATCCAACCAGCGGCAGAGGCGGAACGCCGGCCGTCCTCCGTGTGGTCCGACGCCAGGGATGCATCTGAGCCGGCCATCCGAGCCTCCGTGGGAAAAAAAGGCACTGGTTTTCTCACTTACTGAGTGGGAGAATCATGCACGTCCTTATCAAGAACCAGCCAGGGGGTCAGGTGACTTACTAACATTCGAGATGGCCCTGGAAAGCTCCAAAACTGCAACTTGCACCACACCAACTACAATATTCAATCCGTCTTTTTTCGCAGTGACGACCACGAAAACTCGACTTTAGTATACTTTAGTAAGGTTGTCTGCATGATTTTGGAAGTCTATGCCCAGCGACGTGGAGAAATCCAAAACCGGCTCACTCACCCGCCACCTCTGCGGAAGATGCCCTGGGCGAAGGGGCTGAACAGTGGCTGAATGTCGAGACTGACATCTCTCAACTGCGGTCTGAGTGGTGCGAAAAATAAGAAAAGAACATCCATGGATTTCCAGTTTTGTTTCAAGAACTGGTATCAGCTATGGTGAATGCCAACAGAATCGATTGATAAAGAAGGATCTCCGAAGCGGCGGTCTTCTCACCATTAAGGCGCGGAGCACAGGGTTTTCACTCAGGAGACATTGTGGCATATGTTTAGAATAAGTACTGTCATCGCTCAGAAGCAAAACACCAAGGCCGCCTGCACCGCATCAACATCTCCCGAGCAACGCCTGGCTGAAGGAGTGAATCTCGACTTCGGTGACAAAACCAATGAATAACAAGAGACCTTCTTGTTCTTTGTGCGGTTTAAATTATGCGCGCTGCCGGTAACAATGGATGATGCTGTCATCTTGGATAGCTGCCACAGGCATGACGGTTTTTGTTATTATTTTTCCAGTAGTTTTCTGTGTTAGAGAAAAAACATGACTCGCGCCTCCACTTCCAGGCGCCGTCCCACATGACTGGCTGCTGCGCCAAGGGTGATCGACGCGCCATGGGTGTCGTCTGCCTTGGTTTAGATCAAGTTTGCTACACTCATCTATGGCTGTCAATCCTGGACTGGTGGGGATGTCAACCGCGTCTCCTAAGCACTCAGTTTTGCCACTTTCTCATCTCTTGCTGATCAGTGGGTGTGGTATAGGCTTCATATGTGTGTATTCATATACCCGCCTGAGACCTACCTTTTTGGGTGTGGAAGGCATATTGTGAAACAGATAGCATTTTGCAGAAACACCTGAACATTAGATGATCCTAAGAAATACTTTACCTGCTTTGTTGTATGTATGTGTTAGTTTCAGTCCTTATGAGTGGTCTCCATTGATAAGGCCAAACTTGAGGACATTTACAAGCAACACAACTATGAAATGTTGGCTCTCTTTGTCAAAATATGTCAAAATATTTACTGTTTGGTTACAGTAATTTTAATGTTCAAGACTCTCCTGGATGAATTTGTTTTATCTTGATGAAAGGTTTCCTTTTGGTGTTCAAATTCTTTGCACCACTGGGCATCATAGTCACATAATGGGCAGTAATAGGGGCTTGGATTCAAAAGTTTGTCCCCAGAATCTTGAATATAGAATTTTGAACCCCAAAAACTTTGCAAGCTTTGCAAAATGTTTAATTCAACATGTGTTTGCACACCTTTTGGGTTTCGACATGTGTGTACGTAATATTACATGGTTGGTTTCCAAAATGTCTTTTCCCAAAATGGTGCACTCATCGCAATTCCAGGAGGGCCGCTTCTAAGTCTCCTTTAAGCTCCAACCACATTCAAGCCACAGGGATGTTAAACATGAAGGCATGTCAACTGCAAAAAATGTGAGAGGTGTCTAGCGCGGACCTTTTCAGGGGCCTGTTGATCTGCTGGAGATGTTGTTGTTGCGGCTCTAGACTTCTGCAGTTGTTGCCAATGGGCCAATGTTTAGTTATCAGAAATCTTCAGAGTGACATGGGAAGGACGCAAGAGCAGACTCAAAAGATTTGGGTGTTGGATGGGCAAATGGTCAAGACATGGGCCGTCGTCTAGCGCAGTACTACTTGGATTTGCTTAAGGGGCTGGAAAAAATAATAATAATATCAGGACTCCAACCTACTAATGGCTTCCAACCAATTCTCTGCCGCACACTCTCTGCAATCTTTTTCACTCCATGCGGAGAGTCCCCAGTGAAGCGGTTCAAGACTTCTCAGTTCTTCGAGCTTTTCGCCTTCCAGAGAAAAGTGGTCACAGAAAAGAATCCACTAGTAGTAGTTAATAGTACTAGTAATCCTCGTCGTAGGAGGAGGAGGAGGTAGTAGTAGTTGTCGTCGTAGTGGTGGCAGGAGTAGTCATACTAATAGTAATCCAGTGGTGGTAGAAGTAGAAGTAGAAGCAGGAGTAGAAGTAGAAGAAGTAGTAGTAGTAGTTGTTGTAGTAGTGGTAGTAGTAGTAGTAGGGGGAGGAGGAGGAGGAGGAGGAGCCATTACAAGAGGTAAGAATCGATGAAGAGGCACCTGAGTGTGAGCGGGAGTGACCAGTCGTGGTAGTCGGGGCAACAGCTAGCAGCCAGCCAATGGGCGGTAGGCAGTAGGCAGTATAGCCAGTAGTAGTAATAGTAGTAGTAGGAGGAGGAGGAAGGAGGAGGGAGGAGGAGGAGGAGTAGGACTAGGAAAGGGGTAGGAGTAGGAATGATAAGAGCAGTAGGGGTGGTAGGAGCAATAGGAGCAGCAGGAGTAATAGTAACAGTGGTAGTGGTAGTGGTGGTGAATAGGAGCAGGAATAAAAGTAGGAAGAGGAGTAATGAGCCGGTCGAATATCGATAGGCGGTTACAGGTGGGCCCCTGCCCCCCCCCATAAAGAACATCACCAAAGTCGGCACTTGAAGCAGGGGTCTTCTAAGTTGGAATCTGGAGGTTGCCACTCTATCAAGAGTGTCTTTCCATGAACCAGTGACAACATCTGGCTTTAATCTGAACTCACAAGTCTCCAGCGATGAGTGCCCGGCACAGTTAGCAGAAGGGAAGATATCAACACGAAACTGTGTTGGTGGTATACGATTCTGAGGCTCCAGTTTTGGTTCGGTCAAAACCAAAATTGCACTATGGCACGCGGCTGTGAGGTTCCAATATACTTTGGTAAAAAATGCTCTTCCCGGCCTTTAGTGGATGGTCATGCCATCGGATGCTCGAATCTGTCTTTGCAGGCTGCCTAGAAACACTGGCCACGAAAGAACGTGGCGTCTCTT